CAGCCATTGTGCAGGGTTAGTAATATGGAAGACCTGCCAGGCCCAGAGCCTCACATATTTCTTATCATTGTTAATTCTTCCAATAGTCCTAGAAAACTAGAATTGTCATCATCCTCAATTTATAGATACGAATAATACCCCAAAATGACCGAAAAAATGACCCAGTAAAAGGAAAATGCATAGGAAAAAAATCATATTCCAAAATGTCTAGTTTTATGCAATTTAAAAAGAAAAAAAGTGAAGTGCTAGTAATTTGGTGTAGCAAGAGGGGGTACTTGAGTCTTGAAGACACTTTAATGGCTCATATAGGCAGCATTCTGACGCTTATCACAATTAAGCACAGCAGTCTTTTGTTGGGCTTGGCTTCAAATTTTGGGGATTCAGAAAATAATATGAAGAAAAGCAAGACACTGAGGAAAGCGAAGAAAGGATTCGCTTGTGTCAGTGCACTTGGAAACCCACTTGCAAACAGGACTCTGATGCTGCACGCACATTTATAGTCAGACAACACTTTGACTTTTAAGAAGAGCAGCATTCACTGTCACTGCCAATGAAGGCGAGACACAAAAGAACCCCAAGCTAGACATTGTTAAATTACAACCCAAGAAGCTAGTAATTCCCAGTTACATGAAGTTACTGTCAAATATGTGCATACTTATTGTTTGTTATTCTTCAAAGACTTAAGTTCTCTCTGATGTTCTCCCCAATACTTTTTTTATACTTTTCCTTACTCACCAATTCTTAGCACTCCTGCCAAGGTAATCATTATCAAACTTTTATTTTAATACTACATTTAAACAGTAAGAGAGAGAGAAAAAGAGAGAGAGAGGGGAGAGGGGAAGAGGTGAGAGAAAGAAAGAGTAAGAGAAAAAGAGAAAGAGAGAGATAAAGCAGGACAACAAGGGAAAGTGCATGTGCGTGTGTGGGTGTGTGTGTGTGTTCGCGTGCGCACATGTGCATAAATATTGAAGTGACTGTCTCAAGCCCTTTTTTTTTTTGCTTTTTGGGTCACACCCGGCGATGCTCAGGGGTTACTCCTGGCTCATGCACTCAGGAATTACTCCTGGCGGTGCTCGAGGGACCATATGGGATGCTGGGAATCGAACCTGTGTTGGCCATGTTGGCTGCATGCAAGGCAAACGCCCTACCCGCTGTGCTATCGCTCCAGCGCCTCAAGCCCAATTTTTATATATAAAATGAACTCTTGGATAAGAATGACCACTTTTGAACTGGTAGACTTTAGAAAAAAAACAAGAATAAGCTTTAGGTAAATAAGAATACAGTAGAGTGTCAGTCATTTGTTTATTTAGTCAAAGATATACTGGATAGCAGCTATGGTGAAACATCAGTTCTGGATCTATGGGAAGTGTAAGACATGAAAGTTTTATCATAGGCATGATAGAAAAGTACAATTCATTGTATGGCAAAGTTTTATTATAAAACCTAATTTAAGTAAGTGGATTCAAGGATTTAACATATATTTATTCATTTTATCATTTTTTCATTTGAAATATTCTTCACTCAGCTTCTCTATTCTCTCCTGAAATTATTTTATATCCTTACAGGATCTTTATTCTTAGCCTGTTCCTAAAGTGTTGGTGTTCCCTAGATTTCTGACTTCAGGTTACATATCTTTATTTTACATAGTTTCTCTGGGAGTTCTCATTGCTCTGATGACAGAATCATCCATATCAGGTGGTGACCATGTTTGATGATACCAGTGTCTGATTATTCAGTGAAACTCTTTCTTTATTTCTAGACTTATATAAATTCTTCTCTTGAAAATGACATCTGGATGTTGCAAGAAACCAAAGATAAAATATCAAAAACTCTACTAATAAACTTTACCATATCCCACTAACACAACCATTGATGAAGCTGCTCAATCAAGAGTCATTTTTAACTCCTGTTCTGTAGTTCTTAGCAACCAATCGTAGAGTTCATGAACTTTTATATCCTAAAATACATTCAACACAACCAACCCATTCCTCTTCACACACTCTGCTTCCACCTAGCCCAGTCACTATCATGTCTTGCCACCATGTTACCACAAAGAACTGTTTAATAGATCTCTGAGAGCTATTTATTTATATATATATTTATCTGTCAAATTTGCTCAAGCGGGCCCAGTAACATCTCCATTGTGAGACTGGTTACTGTGTTTGGCATATCGAATACATCACGGGTAGCTTGCAAGGCTTTGCTGTGCAGGTGAGATACTCTCAGTAGCTTGCTGGACTCTCCGAGAGGGGCAAAAGAATCGAATCCTGGTCAGCTAGGTCGGCCGTGTGCAAGGCAAATACCCTACCGCTGTGCTATCACTCCAGCCCCTCACCCTAATTTTAACTCTACATTTTACCCAACCTCCCAAAGAGAAGTGTTCATGTGATGTGTTCCTTTAATGACACATATATTGCCTCTAATATAATTTTTGATATTTTATCATAAACTCCTAGAGACATTTTCATATATTCCTATACTCTGTCATTCCACTAATATATTCCACTAATAAGGGCTAGATGGCCAGAAGAAGCTCTCCAGTCTAAGCAGCTTGCTTTATATCCCTTGCACAACTTAGTGCATTATAACTATCTGTTCGATGAGTACACAAAGACCTTCTTAGTTACAGGAAAGGGTTTGTAGATAAATACCCTTGCCATTAAGGAGGTTAATACTAAATGCACAATGTCTGTTATACGTAATTATAAGATGATAATGAGTAAATAGATTTGACTCCAATTTGGAAACATGGGGATTTACTAACACTGAAAATTGGAATTAAATATTTAGCTCTCTCTGCTGGGATAGTCTAATCTACACTAAATACTTCTAGAAGACAGTTTTATGATTTTATATTATAGATGAACAAAATAGGCACAGCAAAGTTAATTGAGTTACTCAAGGTTACTGAGTGAATCAGAAGCAGAGCCAAAAGTTCCAGTTCCAAATTGTTGATCTCTAACCCTTAGTGCTATGATTTTTTTTAGAAATTATTTCTCTTCTTGTTCCCAAAGTCTTCTGGTGTGAGTGAAGGAGCTCAACTATCCACTACAATAGTGCTCTCAAACTATCACCGGTGATATGAATATCGAAGCCTATTGTGCAGTGCTTCTCTGATGAATTTTTCCTCTAATCTTTGAAAGAACAGACTCTCTGCATATGGGTCTACACACTGCTAGAGCTGCCAGTGCCTTCTTTATCCTTAATAAAGAATTGTTAGTGTTGGGTACTAATTGCCATCACAAAGTGCCAACATTTAGTTCTTGTGCTGAAGGATCATAATGCTACTCTGCATCAATAAATGCCCATGGTTAGTTGGCTGGAGCATTCCACTGCATTTGATGAACATTTTGGTAAAGTATGTTGCCAGCACTTAATAAATATTTGAGAAGCAACAAAAGCAATTATATTTTTATCAGGATTATTGGTTCCAACATTTGTATTGTGAGAGAAATAATCTTAAAACAGCTTGGGCTGTCATTTCAAAAGGCCAGATATGAACTATGTACTGAATAAATATGCTTATATATGTAGTATTGTGGAGTCAAAGACTAGCACAAGTCTGAACTAAAATATTTGAAAATAGCTTGTCTGTAAACATATCTAGTGTTTTCGTAAGATAAGCACTGTTGAAACTAATGTCTCAGAGATAGAGTGAGGCTGTACATGAGATTTTATGCAACTTCTGACTGGACCAACCAAGGTTCTTTCTTCTGACACTAGCTCATGGTGTTAAAAAAAATCTAATGTGTACAAAACTGAGAATAACATGGGTCATTTTTATTAGGTATACAGAGTACTTTTTCCTTTTCAAACCGATACATAATTTTCTTTTAATACCAGTCAAAAACATGGTCAGATAGAAGGAGCCCAGCTCCTGTTTTTCCCCCCATAAACAATCATCTTTATGCCTGAAGCATCCTGGCCAGCTTGTGATACTGTTTTCCTCTCCTGCTTTGCCATGCTATTCCAGGCCCAGCAAGCACTTGAACTGTTCAAAACATTTGCTTCTTTTTTTTTTAAATTCCTTTAATTTTAAAAATTATTATTATATTTTGATTTTTGGCTCACACCCAAGATGCTCAGGGGTTACTCCTGGCTCTGCACTCAGCAATTACTCCCGGTGGTACTTGGGGGATCATATGGGATGCCGGGGATTGAATCCGGGTCAGCCGTGAGCAAGGCAAATGCCCTACTGGCTGTACTATTGCCCCGACTCCAGCATTAGCTATTCTTAATCCCCTGTGTGACTTTAGGTGAACTGCTTCTGTCATGTAAATTTAACTGATACTCACCGTTACTCACTGAGTACTAACTGATACTCTATCACGTGACTTCACCCTAACAGAGACTAATACCCGAGCTACCCCTCAGTAAATTAATCTAGTGGAGAAGAGAGATTTTCTGTCAAATGCCATTTTAGCACCAGCTGCTCATACCATGAAAATACCAAATTCCACTGCAATCTTTAACATCGACTTTTCTGGTCTAAGAAATATGTATGATAAATCCATACAGAATTGAGAAGCATATGAGATAAATCTTAAACTCTACATGTAGGTGAATGTTCTGGACTGGTGACTGGTAGATGACTTTTATGAAGTCAGAATACTCTTTGCCTTATACTTGAAAATGCAGATTCCATGAATTCATCCTCATTCATCAGCCCTGTTTGAGGGAAAATTATTTTGAAGGATGTTGCTCTCATTTCCTGATGCTGCAGTTCCTATGAAGCTATACCAAGGAATAAAGGCTCCTTTCAAAGAGGAGCACAGAGGCTGAGCTGGCTTCCTGCTGTAGAAGATTATAAATGTTCTCAAACACTGCTAAAAGGAAGCAAATTCCAACTTGGACTCTGAAAATTTGATGTATTTTTCACAGTGTTTGCCACAGTTGTCTGAATGTGGCCATTATTGGCTTTGATTATTAAAAGTTAAGTGAGCATAAAAACAAATGTTTTCATCCCAAGAATAGCTGCCCTATTACAAAATTTATTTTACCTGCAGAGATTCCATTTCTTCATCTTTTCTGTGTGACTCCTCCAGCAGATCTACAATTAAAAAAAAAAGGAGAATTTCCATCAACACAAAACAAAATGTATTGCTGCTAATTATCATACTCAGTTCAGCCAGTAGCTTGTGTAAACTGTTACATGGGAAAAGAACTGATGATTGAAGTTTAATCATGCATAAGAAATGAAGACATGTATGTGGCAGTGCTCTCTGTTATGCTTGATGACATGCCCTGTGAGGTCCTAACTGTTGGAGATACTAGAAATAAGGCAAACTTACTTACAAATCCCAGATCATAGCAATATTTTAGTAATTTCCCCAGTACTTACATAACTCTAAAGTAACACAAAATGAGCTCTTTAGAAAACCTTTTTTTTCCTTTTGAAAGAAAAATTAGAAATAAACCATTTTCTCTTAAATTAACCTCTCAAGTCAAGCTCCACCTCCAGAGTCAATTTTTATAACCAAATAACACCCTGAAATAATGGGTGTTATTAGTGAAAGTAGAACACCACCCAAATTGCAAAGTCATATTAATTATCATTTCACACTGAGCAGGTGGGAAGCATTGGACTTATCTGACCAAGAGTTTGGCACCATCTCAGAGAAGTTAGTGGCTGGAAGGGAAGGTAGTCAACTGAAGAGGTTTTCCTGAATACATGTATATAGCCATGGTGTCTCGGGGCCCCAGATTAATTTATGAACTTGTTATGAAAGGAAATATACTTGGCAAGCAGAATTTTCTGCCTGCAGCTATACCATCCCGTTCTATGATCTTACTAGATCTCACAATCCTAAAGAGCACTGGGCTGAGTCAGAACTTGGATGAAAACTGGCAAGAAACACCTACAGCAGGGCACATTAATATTAGCATTTGCTGTACTCTGTGATTGATATAGCTTACCAAGAGGTTGTGCTGCGTAAAAGGAAATTATATCTTCCAGAAATTATATATATGTAAAGTTATATATATATATGTATATCAGAAAGGCAAATGCAAATGTCTTCAGAAAATGCTGTATGAGATGCAGTAGGAAATGGTGCCAGAGTGAGTAGTCAAGTAACTAGAATATTCCAAAAAATAGTGGGCAATACACTGAAACCTCAGGAGGCTGGATAGGTGATATAATTGATGGCAATGACCCTTTTTAGACTGCATGTTAAGGGAGAAATTGCAGGCAATTACCTCAAGACACAATGAATGGTGTTATGAAGAAGAAAATTTTGCTCTGTATCCCATGGAAGAGTTTATTAGTTTCCCAACATTTTGCTAATCAATTATAGTAACAAAAATGAGTCTGTTGATGCAGTAGGGAGATTTTGTTTTGTTTGTTTTATTTTGGGGTCAGACCCAGAAATATTCAGGGGCTACTCCTGGCTCAGTGCTCAGAAGTTCCTTCTGGCAATGCTCATAGGATCATGTGACAGGGGCCAAAAGAGCGTCTCCCACATGCAGAGCATGTACTCCAGTCCTCTGAGATGTCTCCCAAGACCCTAGGGAGAGTTTATATGTATGGTATTATCTCATCTACAAAGAGCTATAGTTTTACTACATTTTCCACTTGGATTCTCTTTGTATCAATGTTTTTTAATTTTGAAAAATAAAAATGGATGAAAAATATGAAAACTCAAAGCAAAGAAAAAACTTCATAGAAATTACATGGAGGTTGGGGTTTGGGGCCACACTCACAGGTGCCTAGAGGCTATTCTAGGCTCTGTATTTAGGAGTCACAGCTAGAGAAGTGCATGAATCAAATGTGGTGCCAGGTAGAATCCAGGGTTGGCAGCCTGCAAGGCAAACACTTAAGCTCCTGTACCATCTCTGTAGTTCAGGTGGTATTTTTTCAAAGGGAATTTTAGTTGGCATACTAGGTTCCTTATTTCAGCATTCTTTAATTTTTTCTACACTGAGGACCGACACCTCACTGCATCCAGGTCCAATGAGCAGCTATGATAACCACTGCAGTAGACCATGGGTTTTCAACCTTTCTAGAACTGCAGGCTGGCATTGGTCTATGGACTGGTGGTTGAAGACCACTGCTTTAGCTCTGCCTTATAGAAACCGCTCTGAGAGTCTGGGAAATTGTTTATGTTTCTTCAATTGTTTGTTCTATATCTAGCCCATGAACAAGCATAGGATAGCTTGTTCATATGTTATAGGACAAAACCCATGGGACCAAGCTCTTTCCACTTCAGACATCTGTTGGATGCCCCAAATGGCTGCCAGCAAGTGCCCAGAAGCATAACTATCATTCTGACCTGATGCTGAGTATTGATTTTGTATTAAACACTTGTAAACTAAAAGCAATACAACTACTATCTGGAGAACACATATTTAAAAAAAATTGTTTTGCTTTTTAGGTCACATCTGGTGGTACTCAGGGGTTACTCCTGGCTCTACACTCAGGAATTACTCCTGGCAGTGTTCGGGGAACCATATGGGATGCTGGGTATCAAACCCAGGTCAGCCGTGTGCAACGAAAACACCCAACCTGTTGTGCTGTAGCTTCAGCCCAACATATGGCTATTTTTCTTATAGGGACACATTTAAAATATACATTAAGTAAATAAAAGTATCCAAACTCTTCAGAGAATAGCAAGTGGTGTGCGGAAGATCAATAGCATGAACTAGTAGACATTTATATCTGGATACACCTCATTTTTGTGTCAATTCACTCATGATGAAATTCCATGAAAACAAGAAGTAATGAGCTTCACATAGATCTCTCATTATGAAAGAATGGAGCACTTTCATATGTATCATGATGCTTTTTAACAGAAGTGAAAGGGATGGATACCAGCTGGTCTCAAACAACAAATGCCTAAGCCACTGGTTTCGGTGATTTGCATCTTTGAACTCTACAATATTTGTGAGAAGTAAGATCACTAATATATCCCCATGTATGAATTTTGATTTTTCTTCCACTACTTCTGATTAATAGGAGGCTCACAAAGTTGACTCCCTTGAAATAATTAACTTGTTTAATGACATGGTAGAGCTGAAATGATGGGTAGTAGGATCCATTAATCATTAAAGAAAACAGAAAACTGATCTTGTTCTTATGTCGGTATAATAAATTCCTAATACCTTAGCTAAAATTACCTAGAGTAATTGAATACATGGTCACTACCAAATCTCGCATAAAGTCAAATTCAAATCACACATTTGACAAAATATAAAGAAATTCAGTCTACTCTCATAGCTTTATAATGAAATTGGTACAATATGCTCTTAGTTTTCTCTAAATGCATAATGGTTACGTCTTCCTTCCTTCCTTCCTTCCTTCCTTCCTTCCTTCCTTCCTTCCTTCCTTCCTGCCTTCCTGCCTTCCTGCCTTCCTGCCTTCTTTCCTTCCTTCCTTCCTTCCTTCCTTCCTTCCTTCCTTCCTTCCTGCCTGCCTGCCTGCCTGCCTGCCTGCCTGCCTGCCTGCCTTTCTTGCCTTCCTTGCCTTCCTTGCCTTCCTCCCTCCCTCCCTCCCTCCCTCCCTCCCTCCCTCCCTCCCTCCCTCCCTCCCTCCCTCTCTTTTGGACCATATAAGGCAGTGTTCAGGATTTATGCCTGGCTCTGCACATACTAATTACTCCTCGCAGTGCACGAGGGACCCTACAGAATGTCAGGGATGGAATTCAGGTTGGCCCAATGCACTATGGCTCCTGCCTCTATGCTGCTCTTCCTACTGAGCAGATATCAAGTGTATTACTTGATTTTTTTACAGTTCAGCAAAATATAGCTACCTACAGTTTGCATTTCACACTCTCTTGTTCATGCCCAGTGACCCTAATCCCATCTTAAATAAAAAAAAAATAAAAGAATGCCAGTTATTTTAGCTCTTCAGTGCCATATCCTTTACCATCAAGAACTTCTTGTTCCTCTTCTCCATGTGATGCCTATTCTAGAATATTCAATCTAGAAGCCTATCTAACTCGTCTTGACCCCAAATTCGGGGCCTGAGCAATGGAACAACAGGAAGGGAATTTGCTTTACATAGTCAACTGGATTTGATTCTTGGCATCCCATATGGTCCACCGAATCCACTAGGAGTGATCTCTTAGCGCAGAGCCAGGACTACTGCAAGTATGGCCCCAAAACAAAAACAAAATTAGGCATAACCTAAACTGACAAATTGGAGCAACTTATCAACATATGACCTAAGTAATCACAGTAGGAATCCTTTTTCAGGATCTAATAAGGCTATGGGGAAAGCATTTTTTCTTCCTAATGACCAGTCTTCTGCCCCCGCACCTGACTGTCCTCGCTCGCCAGGACCCCTTGGAGGGGAGCGGGTTGAGCTTTCCTCCCCGCCCTGACCAGGGCTCCGGCAGCCAAAGACCTCCAGGACCAGCCACCACCATGCTGAGACCACTCTCCGCACACACGAAGGTACTGGCAGAGGGACAAAGTCACGCGGGTTCCGGGGCCGAGATTTCCAAGCCTACCCGGATTTGGGCCAAGCATCCTCCACCCAGATCCTCCAAATTCCAGTAGGCGGGGGTCACACCCACCACCTGGCCCCCTGGTGCCGTGTAATCCCATCAGCGGCCAAGACTCAGAGACTATAAAAACCAGATCTCGGACATTTTATTATGACATCTTATTATCTCATTCCTACTTTTGACAAACTGGCAGGCTACCAAATGTAGCCTGCCCACACGGCAGAGTCTGGCAAACTCCCTGTGGCGTACCCAATATGCCAAATACCAGTAACAATGATGGGTCTCATTCTCCTAAAGAGCCTTGAATATAATCTCAGGGCTAGGATGAAGGAGACGTTACTGGGGCCTGCTCGAGGCAATCGACGACTAACAGGATGATTTGTGATTTGTGATTTGTGACCAGACTTGTATTACTATAGTAATTCTAAGTCTATATTTTCTACTTTGCCAAAGGATTCTAAGCAACAATGAAACTGACAAAGGAAAAAAGAACACTTAAAAGGAAGAAAGAGTTGGGAAGAAAATTATCAAACGTTGCATGAAGTCCAAGTATGTTGTTGAGTTTCCAATACGTTTTTTTCTTTATTTAAATTAGAAGAGCAAA